TGTGTGTGTGTGTGTGTGTGTGTGTGTGTGTGTGTGTGTGTGTGTGTGTGTGTGTGTGTGTGGCCTTGTTTTTCCTACATTGTGGGGCCCATGTTTAAGCCTGGGCCCCACAACTTTGGAGGCTGATTTTGGGTGTGGGAGTTGGGTTTAGGACCAAGGTATGAATTGAGTTTACGTTAGTTTTAGGGTCAGGTAGGTACCTGTGAGGTTAGGGTTACAGTTCGTGGTCAGGGTTAGGATATAAAATTACCAAAAAATGAATGGAAGTCAATGGACGGGCCCCACAAGGATATAAAAGCAAGTTTGTTTGTGTGCGTGCGTGCGTGCGTGCGTGCGCTCATACGCTACAGAAGGATTCATGCACTGATTCGGTTCGTCGTCCAATTTTTCATTTTGGTTCAGTCAACGAAAAACCAAAAAATTAAAAATAAAAATTTTGGTTTGGTTGTTATATGATTGCCTGAGTGTACACTGGCGCTAAAGAGCAAAGACTTTTGTTTACCACGTGACTTCCTGCTTGGAGAAGTCCATATTTGTTTGCAGCAGCATGATTACCTTCACAAAGTGTGGCATCATCAGACAGCGTTTGGTTCAGTATGGCTGCATTTATCAAACTCCATCTGTCCATCCATCAGGACTTCTAATGTAACTCTCTCCAGAGGAACAGCTGGAACATTTATTTCAAACCGAACACGTTCATTTTTTTTTTTTTGGAACATGTTGTCTTTTAGGTAATGGGGGTCTGTGACACACAACGCAGTCACTATCAATGATGCATCGCCTGCAGGTCATTTGTTGTTGATGGAGGCAGTAACAGCTCAGGAATCATCAGTCAATTTTTTTTCCTTTAGGTTGCAGTTTCCAGCTTGAGCTGCAGCACAAGTTTCAAGATAACGTATGAAACAAATGTGATTTTTTTTACCCCCTCTTGAGTTTATGTGTTCTCCTCAACAAGAACAGTTATCACTGCAGAAACGTGGACGTCTCTCTGACTTTGATGGAGCCCCACGCCGCACATTGTGTAGCGTTAGCT